CTATTCTGAGTTACCAGCACTAGGAACAGCCTGAGGCTATGGAGCATCAGGGGCTTGCAGGCAATTCAGGAATAACTTCTAAATAGCCCTGTGACACATGACTGGATCATGTGGGTGATGGGATATTTAAAGTGAACTTATGGGCAGAGAGAAAATCAGAGGTTTCTGGGACTGACACTCTCAGGCCTTGCTGGTACAGTTTGCATTTAACCCAGTCCAGCCTGTCCTGCAATTCAGTGGCAGGAGCTACTGAAGCTCTGTTGTGAGCTGCTCTCCCCTCCAGTCTCTCAGGCACAGGTGGTATAAGGTCTTACTGTTCTCAGGCAAATTAAGATATAGGAACGTTGTTCTATGGACCAAGAAACTACTGGGCTGGTATTTCTTACTTTGAGACAGAACAAAAAGGTCATACCCCAAAAATTTGAAGATACAGACTTGCTTCTTCTGAAACAAAATTTGTACACCTTCCTTCTCCCACCCTTCCTCCACACACCAAGGGTTCTGCCAAAGCTGCTACTGCATCTTAACTATGTGACTGAACCCCTTATGCTGCCAAGGCAGCATTAGTTATATCAAATTATTCGCTCTTGTTTTATATTACTCTTTATGACATTTCAGTTTGGCWTCTCTACCCCAGCAGAGGTCTTCATGAGTTAGAGGAATAATAATAGCTGCAATGGTATAAAAAAAGAAAAATATTCTACAGAAGTGATGGGAAAATTAGCCATGATGAGACATGGTAAGAATGTAAAGCACAGGTATGAATCTCTAGGTTAAAAATTACTAGAGAATAGTTAGATTTAGAAGCTCCTGTTAGCAAGTATGTGTTGGAAATAGACGGTTATTCTTAGAATATTATAATTCTCTTACATGGAAGGTAGAGGACTGCAGAGAGGAGCAGTGGTAATTAGAAAGGCAAATGACTTAGAGAAGAAGTGACATGAAAGGGAGAGATATATGATTGAAAATCAGCATAAGAGAAAGTCAGAACTAAAATTTAGGACTGGATCCATTCCCTTGAAATATCTAAAAACACTGAATATAGTGAACGGACAACACAAACAAGCCTGCTCATGGCCATCTCCATTCTGATCCATACTTCCTTCAGAAAACAAACTATGAAAACTGTGTGCTCAGGGACAAGGAAAGAATAGAAATGAAATTGGAATAGACTGGAATAACAGTTTTAAAAAGTTTTTAAGTTATGCAAACAAAAAGGGTAATGGGAATTTGTGCACTCTTAAAAAAGAGTTCTAACAGAAAATGGTATCACTGGAGCAGACACAGTGACCATTTTGTCATATCTCAATAGCAACTCATAAAAAGTATAGAAGAATGTTTTAATGTTTTCAAACATAATGGGGAGAAAAAACAATGTCACTAGTAAAGTAATAGTGTCACCAGTAAAGTAATAAACAATATACACAGATGTTATTTTATCACAGCGCAAACTTAAGAGGAGAAATACAGGTCAGCAGAACTTTAAAAGGGAGACACGACTTAGTCTGAGTTTAATTTGCTTTCAAAAACATGGTCACTGACCCTTTAAATTACAAGCCAATTACAAGTATTGTAGTGCCATTACTAATTACATGCTGAGAGTGTAAATTCAAAATGGCAATTTCAATTTTCAGTTCATTGGGAGAATGCAGGAAAATGAAATTGCCTACTAATTAGTTCATGTGTGACAGACACCTGAAAGATTAGAGAAAAAAACCTGCACTCATTACAAGTGAGTTATAAGGAATGCACTCAAACCTTTCATTTGCCAACCTGCATATAAATAAAGAAATTAAATGACAAAGAAAATTGATAATGATGGAACAAGGCAAAAATAGCTACAGGCATGTACATAATTATACTTCGGGGGACTCTGTCCCTTAATAGAACAGCTTTCTTTAGAATTTATCTAGCATTAGAAACTACAATAGAATAACAGGCTACTGTTTTGGGTTCATTGCACTCAATGGTAATTCACATTTCATAAAAATGGAGTTTCTAGTTTCATAACTTTTCACTTAATCTGTCAAACATTTACAGATTTTTCTGAAGCTATCTTCTGGTCCAGTTGCTTCATCAGACCAGCATAGAGAGGTCCCATATAAAAATCCTTTCTATTAGAAGTGACCAAAGTCACCTAAGTGTATGACCCTAAGACTACCCTCTGCCTTGTCAACAGCCCTGATTCCCACAAAAAAAAAACAACTGCTTACTGCAGAGTAAGCATCTCTAACCAGGAGGAAGGTGATTAGGAGATAAAGAAAGTAAAATTAACAGTAGGATGTTAGAAGGAACATTTCTTTCACCCGACCAGAAGGAAGCTAGTGAGAAACCTAATACAGAATCAGAGTATGCCAACATTTTGTAATGTTCCACAAATGATTAAGAAATATCTCATTTGCCTTTATAGCAGTTGTGCAAAAATAAAATATAGGATTTCTTCTGCTATTCTTCTCTCATCAGAAACTATTCTGACTCACATAAGGGTCAGGCAGTATCTGTCTCTTAGTGTATACTTCTCTAAAGAACTACTCTGCCAGGCCTAAAGCATGAATTTGTGAATGTCTGTATCCCCATCAAATCATAACAGGATTCTGCAGAATACTCACAAACACTTCTGTATAAGTATCATCTTGCTGCCAGATTTAGATTTTCTATCCCTAGTTGCTTAAAGGTGAAGAGTCTTCAGGAAGGGGAAAAAAAAAAAAAAAAAAGACCTCCCAAGATTTAAACTTTTGTTTTTATGTAACAGAGCGTTTTCCTCTCTCTGTGCACAAAAATCTTCAGCAAGTTTTGTGCAAACTATGAAATTGTTTTTAAAAAAGAATGAGATGAAAATGGAAGAGAATATTAGCTGTTTTGAATGCAATAATCATGTCACTTTTTTTTTTTTTCTCCTAGAAATTCCTTATATCTGATGGCTAGCAAAATTAGGATTGGTACTACTTAGACTAATTCCAAAAAAGAACTAATTTTTCAAAGCTGATACCTTTAACTGAAATGCTTGGAAACATTTTATCCATTAGTCCAACCTTCTTTCCAGAGAAGATCGAAGATGACTTTGCTGGGAACAAAGTCCAAGGCAAGTATAAGTCTGGTTTGGGTAAAAATATGCAAAGCCATCTGACAGCTCCTTTGGTGATTGAGACGTGCCTTTGCAAGGGAGCAATTAACCAGTAATAGTCACCCTCCAGTTCACCTTCTAGTGAAGATATGTCTCAGGGGTCAATGGTAAACATTTGCTTTTCTCTTTCAAATTATTCAATAAAAGCTATGTTCTAAAACAGCTCCAAAAGCTGCCATAACATTAATGCTTTTTATTATCCTTTAAAATTATATTAGCCTTCTCTTCCAGAGAAAATAATTCTGCTCAAGTCCCTTAACATTTTCATTTCAGCTCTTTTTCAATATATGCATTTTATAAACTTCCTAACCTCCCTAGTCTTTACACACACACACAAAAGACTTAAGATACATTGAAGGATCTTTGTGTGTTCACTCTGCAGTGAATAACAAACAGCAACACAAGCTACATTTTTCAAAACTGACAAAAGCCAATATTCTCACCACAGTAGCTTTAGAAAACTTTATCAAATAGTGCTTTGTGCCTGCTTTCTAAACAAGAAAAATGAACAGGCAATCCTGTACACATTTTTTCCATTACATTTGGGAACTGTTCAGAAAAATCACATCTGATAGTCAGTAAGAAGACTGAAATGTGAATAGAAATTATGCTATTTACACAAGGATAACAACAAGAGTGTTTCTGATGCAGCTAGTGAGCATAAAGACCTTGTAGTTTCAACCTACTCAGTGCCAGTAGATTAGACACCAGTTTTGCCTAAGTGAATGAAAGAATCAGGATAGTTATGAGGCCCAGTAGCGCAGCTGGAGCTGCACTACCAGTAGGACATGCAGAATTGCTGTTTTGTATGGCAGCTTCCCTTCAAGAAGGGCCGTCTTCTACTGTGGCCAGAGGCAGGCGCATGAGAGAAGGAGGGCAGACCATTGCCACAGCCTCCTGCTCAACCTGAAGTGGCCCTCTCTCTATTGGCTTTTGCTATTGCTGTGCTGAGTTCACTTGGGAGAAGCACCTTCTTCACATATTGACCATACTGACTAGCAGGCAACTTTTGCCATGAATATGTATCTTCACTTATGTTAACTAACAGCTGAACATGCTAAAGCTTGGTCCAATTCACATATCATAGACGGAAAACAGCCTAAGAGAAAAGAGCTGTAGAAATTACTAGCTGATGATTAGCTTCATTAAAATACAGCCACAGGACTTCATAATCCATTGCTTCATGGCTTTTTCTGAAGACATTTGCTAGGCCTGAAGAAATCCAGCATACAGAGGAGACACTATCATTTGAATCTGGAGATAAAAGCCTTTGAGCAGGAATAAAAGCTAAAAGTATTTTTCGCCCCACAGATTATGGTTGAAATAAYTATTTCAGCCTTAAATAAAACAGTTATTGTTACTCCACAGTGATGCACACACTGCTTAAAGAGCATGTGTGCCCTGAGCTGCTAGGCAGAGAAGACAACTCCACAGGCCATGACAATGGAAAAAGGAGGAAGAAAAAAAAAATTAAAGTAGACTCAAGTTTGCCTCAAAGARGGCTGCAGGAGTGTGTCAAAGTACAGTCAACGAAAGATACTGCTGCTAAATGCTACTAAGGACCTAATGAGTAATGTAGCACCTGTGAAAAAAAAAAAGCTTCCTTGAAAAGACTCAGTTTCTGCAGTCAGTTCTTGCAGGACAGATTCCTAGAGTTACAATGGAACATATGCATACATTTCTCTAATAGAGAGATCTGTGTATTTATGAAGTTGAAATTATTACTTTTTGCAACTAAATAGTCCACTTTAGTCAGGCCACACATAGTACAGTGAACAAAAATCTAGCTATTAGTTTGCCACCTGTCTTCATCAGTTCCTTAAGTGACAACTGAATCAAGGAGGTTTTTTTTTTTCTCCTCAGCTCCATCTGTTACCTGAATCCATGGCCATCTGTCATTTTCTGCAGCAGTCCAAGCATTTACAAGACCCTTCTTATTAAGTCGTGCATAGTATGGATACCATTTCTGGAGTCCAAAAAGAGCTCGATGAGTGGATGACGCAGTAATTTGCTGGTTTGACACAATTCCTCCTTCTATTCCTAGAGGGCCAGAGCATCCTATGCAGGAAAACAAGAAAAGAAATGAACCTAAATCATCAATTAAGTTACTAGTAACTTACCTATCAACAGCATATAAATAGACCCAAAAGATTATGTAACAAAGATATTATTGGAAGAATGGTAAAGCATCGGAATTACATTTTTTAACTTGTAGAAATGAGTGAAAAGTATAAAATATTGCCTTTAAATAACTATTGCCTTTAAATAACTCATTACAAAAACAAGGAAATAGATTAAGCTTGTAACTTCTTTTACTCTGCTCTCTCTGGAGAGTTGAAAGCTTAAGCTTTAAGGATACAAATATTAAGAAAACCATCCTCATATTCAAATATTGAAGTAGTTGCTAAAAGCAAATTTCAGACTGTGCATCTACTGTACAGTTTCCATATTGCTGCTTGTGCCAGAATGATTAGCCCCTTAGCCATTACAAGTATCAAGCATTCATCTTTAGAATAAGAAATTTACTGCATTCATCTTTAGAAATAAGACATTACACCCGATAATGTTTTGTTACCTTAAATATAAAGGTCTTACGGATTCAATCAGCAAAGCACAAAGTATATACTTAAACATAATATTCAATTGTTACAATTTTACAAATTATGTTGATGACTAACTTTTCATCTGAAATAGTTAGATGTAACCTTTTGTAAAGTCAAGATTTTTTTTGCATATATTGATTTCCAAAGCCACTCATTTAGGGTACAGGAGTAATACTATACAATTATTGTGAGCAATTCAAATAGGAAAAATTTTGAAAATTTATGATATACAAATGATTGGCAGGCTACCTGTTATTAAACCCCCCTCAACCACTTTCAAATCATATGACTTGCTCTATTCCTGTAATCAATTCCGATTGATTCAGCAGGAAATAAAGAGAAGCTTATTGCGGGAATTACTGTAGCAGTCGATCTGCTCAGTTGTTCAGAAGATCTGCTATTTTGCAGTCAAACAGCACTTCAGCAATTTCAAACACAAAGAATAGAGAAGACATTCACTTACTTTTAAGGTTTGCTCACAAGCCTGGGATCGCTTTTACCTTTAGCACCACTAAAGAAAAAACTCTGAAATGGTTTTGCTATGAAATTCTTAACACCACACAGTCATAAAGTCACACATAACTCAGTTCTTCATTAGTTGAAGTGTACAGAGAAGAAAAAAAGTGACCAGTGCAATGTGCTCATTTCAGCAATACTGGGAAACATTAGCAACCTGGTGGCTGAGTACTGTGTGCTACTGGTAAATGAGACAAATATAAAACAGATTTAATCCAGTTATAAAACCGTGAACAAACATGTGTCCATGCTCTGAAAACTGCAACTATAACACCCCCCTATTGGTGGGGTTCCAAATATATTGTTTTTCAGAGGAGAAAAATGGTTTACATTTAGGAAGATGTTAAATTAAATCTTGGCCCATTTAAAGTATGCTGACTTCCACCATGTTATGATTTCATGTGAACTTTCAACAGTCCTTCAAGTTCAGCTAAATCTAAAAATCTAGTTCTGCTTTTTGTGTCCAATAACACCCTACAAAACTGTTGTAATCATAATTTTTCTGATAATTCTGTTGATGCTGTACAAGATGGAGCAAAATGCATTTTATTTTCCCACAGCTGTACTAGACATACAGTGATGCCAGTAAAAAACAAAACCTCTTTATCACTAATTAAGACAGATACGATACAAATAAACAAACGTTTGTTTGAAAAAGGTTATTTTTCACAGTATTATCAAGTATTACTTAAAACACTGAAAGACCTATTCACATTCAGCTTGGCTCATAAAATCTTTTCAGCTAATCACAATATATCCTTTCAGTTTAAAAATGGCTATACATGCTTCAAGATGAGAGACGTATTTTCAAAGAAAATTCGTATTTTCTAAAATTTCCCATTTTTATTTACTAAACATCCTTGTCATTTTATAACACAAAACAAGGCACCAGCTTACCTATATCTATATTCAACTCATATGTATATAAAACACCTGCATATACACAGGACTGAGTACAATATAATTAGCCAGACAGTTGATGAATAAGCATGAAAAATATCTAGAATTAGACGTTCTTCATTCTTCAAAAGGAAGACAGTACTTTAAGAAAGGCTTAAATAGGAGGTATGGACACCTATCCAACTCTAAAGGTATTTTAATGGAAATGTGGAGCATACACCTATATTCTGTCCCCTCATGGTGGGGGCATATAGGGCAGGACAYTTGCTCACCCAGCTAGCATTGATCTATAACCTATGGGGAAAGATGTGTACATGAGCATACCMGCATCTGTTCTGATGGGGTTCCAAAATCAGTGTGTTTCTCTTTAGAAGGCATTTTTTAAAGGAAAACATATGTTTTATGATGAGACTCTCAGCCTCCTACAAACACTGAAACTTTGGCAGATCTAGAAGAGAAATAGATGTGTAGGTTTTTGCTTATCAGATTGTCTAAGGTGCATAGTCAATAGTTTTGATTTGGAGTCATGTTTGTTTTCATGCTCAATATGTGTTAAATCATATTTGAAATACATGTGAACTTCTTACACGAGATGTGAATTTTCCTTTCAAAATAGAAGTCAGTTTGATTTTGTCAAGTACAGCACTTAATATGCTCTGTCAGTTCTGACCATATACAGCCAGAGTATTTGCCTTCCCTAGCTTTAGGAGGATTAGTGCTAAAATCCAAAGCAAATTTCTTCCTTTAGGGAATAGGTCCTTCATTGTACGAGCTTATTTTAATTGCAGTCCTAGCCTTGTCAAGTTGTCACTTGTCAATTTAAGTTAAATCCAAAATTTGCCACTTATGAGAATTAAAAACAATCCATTAGCAATACTTTCTACTTTGATTTTCATTCTAAGCAAAACAAAATAAGATGTACACGAAAAGTGAGCCTAAATACCTATTTCTGAACATTAGGTTTACAACATAATACATATGATGTATGCACTACTAAGACRTGACTTTGGAGGACTGTCTTTATTCACCGCTTTGAAAGGCAGATCATTCTCATGAGATGGGAAATCCGGATTAAGCACTGTGCTTCCTGGTCTAAACCACAGAACTTAGAATGTAATCCTGGTCATCTGAACAAAACAGTACTGACCAGTTCAGCAATTCCTGGGGCATGAGCCTGACAGCTGGGCTTTGAAGAAGCCTATCCAAGGCTCTCTCTTCCCAAGACATATCTGAGATAATTGTGCATGCATAATTAAGATTATTTTCTTGATTAGTATCTTGAGTTTGACAGTATTGAATTTCATCTACCATTTCATAGCAGAGTCCAATAGTATTCTGAGATCTTCTTAAAACTCTTTGGTCTATTTTAATAATGCTAAGTAGATTTCCTAAACTATCAAAACACTTGATATCTTACACAGCTAGAAGGATATTGAACAGTCAGGATTTCAGCAAAGATTTGGCTAAAAAATTTAAAAGTGAGCTCCTTCCATTATTAGAATTGCCCATTTTATCCACTACTTTTTCCTTTTTTTTTTAACAAGACATTATTCTACAAGAAAATTTTCCAGTTTATTGTCTTTCATAAATTGAAAGGAAATTGTTGAATTTTTTGGAGGAAATTTAAATACATCATTGCAAATGGAATTTCCTTACTCATGCTTTCATTAACTTTTTCTAAGTAGATTCTTCCATAGATTGTATTGTGGGAAATGCTTTAACATTACAAAAGCTAGAATGGGGTTGTTATTCTCTAAATTCCCAGGACATTTATTTTGACTGAAAACTTGCACTTGAATTACCTGCCTTTAATTCTATCAAACATATTTCTCTGTCAATAAGCCCTGTCGCCACAGTAGCTGCTGCATAAGATCTCCAATTTGAGACACAAAAATGCTTTTCTTCAGCTTAATTATTCCTTTTAGTTCTTACAGGGTAGGACATGTCATTAACTACTAACAATGGAGAAAGTAAGATGCTGCTTTTGGAGATTCCTTATCCATTAAATAGCAAAAAAAGTTAATTTTTTTTTTAAATGAGGTGTATATTTTTTCAAAACTAGTACAAGTTGTATTGTATTTTACTGCTGTTATACCTCTATTTCTATTAAATCCATAGTTCATTTAAGAAAAATCATGACAAGTCAGGAAGCTGAAGTCTGCAAGAAAGTAATATTATCACTGCAGTGACCCTGTACAATTCGTGCTGGTCAATGTCAGCCATTAACAGAATTTATTTATTTATTTATTTATTTTTAGTTAATGCTGACATCCTGGGATATGACAGGCAAAATGGTGCAAGAAAGTAAGCAAAAAAATAGCAACGATTTATACAACAGGTTCATGTTATACATTCATGAGGAAGATTTTGCACCTATAGCTGTTACTTATATTAAATAGCAAAATACTGTAAAATATCAAAAATATAAAGCAATAAACTACAAAAACGAGACAAATGCAAAGATGAACCAATAAGCTGCATATCCCTGAATAGTTCCTGCAAAGGATGGCAAAAGTCAACACCAATATCTGAAATGTTAAAAGATGCATTTTTCTTTCCATCTTTTCTAAGAATCTCCACCAATTCAGTTGAAGAAGACATACAATAAAACTGCCTTCAAGGTTTTCTTTACAATCCCCAAACAAAACAATATATGAAATACAATATACCAATTTTCACCACAAAGCAAACAGTGTTCTAGATTTCATTCCGAGGCCAAGCTTATAGGGACTCTTGACTATTCTAACAATAAATGCCTCTAGTAAAACAAAAATATTTATGCAAAAGAAAATAGAAGATGACAATTACAAAAAAAAATCTTGATTCCCAATTCTCACTATCACTAAGAGAAGGACAAACCATTTTAAGAAAAAAAATATATATCACCAATGCAGCTAATCATAATCAGAAAGCACTGGGTAAACATTTCAAGTGTGTATAGTGTGTGTATAATGTGGACTTCTGTACTTCAGTCCACAAATTAAGCAAAATCTCTAAATGGTTTAAACATTACTAGCAAGTGAGAGGATTATGCCTCAG